TACAACAGCATACATACAAAAAATTTCCGATAAATTTTTAAGAAAATCAAACTTTAGTTATGCAGAAACACAAATAAAAGCTTAAAAGATGAAAATCCCAAGATGATTTCAAGTAAAATTAACTACTCACCTTCATAAGTAGTGTAATCTGCCACGAGGGTTTAGAAGGTTGGAGTGAAAACGACAAGGCAAACGGCTGAGATCTAAGAAAGAATTGAGAGATAAAATAGGAAATATAAGGTAGGAAAGTAAAGTTTGTTCAATAATCGAGAAATGTGGAGCACAGATAGAGATACAAAGAGAATTCAAAGTTGGAAGGATAACAAAATCTCAGTCTTGTGCGAAAGAAGAAGAAGAGGTGTAGAAAAGAGAGGGGAAAAAAGGATGACTGCATCTTTACATAATGGAAAGCCACAAAAATTTTTAATCTGCCACATGCAGTCATCTAGCCAACATTCTCCACCTGTTGAAGCAAAAGGGAAAAAAATAGATAAGATTATAAAATCATATCCAAATCAAAATAAATCTATCAACAAATTAAAAATACACGAAAGAGGCTAAAGAATCTACAAAAAGGATTCATTAAATAAAATAAATAAGAACAACACAGAACAAGAATTTGATTTACATAAATAATCCCATATATGTTATAAACTGAATTTGTTCATGACATTCACAATAAGAATTGTGACAAAAGAGGTTCAAAACAAATAAAAAACACTGAAAGTAAAAATAACATTATTAAACACTGGAAAACAACAACATTTCTACACATGAACTAATAATGATTGTTCATTAGCTATCATGTTGTGCCAAGTCTATTGACTGATGATACGGTAATCATATGATATATCCCATGCATGAGAAAAATAAAAGAATGAATCAGTTAAGTGGACAGGCTAAGAACGTGTGATTGAGGAGGTAAAAAAGGTCAGGAAATAAAATATGCATCATTCGAACTCAATAGTAAATCTATTCTTAATGAACAATTCTCTATAGTGCATTAAATTATCTATAGTGCATAATGGGAAATTGATACTAAATAAACATATATTGGCCAGAGCACACTACATCTCATTATACGTTTACTTAGAGGTGTCAAAATGTGTCCTGGGATTAATTGAAAATACGATACATATTTTAATAACATGAAGTAAAAAAAAATTAAATGCAAGAAATATCAACATTAGCTCCAGGAAGGATGTCTCACAGCAGCAGACCTTCAAATTTCAATCATTTCATAGTTCATAGAACATATTTTGATGTGTGTGTGTGGGCGCACGCACGTGTAACGGTCTGCATTTTAAACCAACAGAAACTTGTGAGATTTTTTTGTTATATATTCCATCTCCACTTCGTAAATGAAGAATGAAAAACAGATCAATGAAATTAAATCATATGAAGGGGATAGGTAGTTAAAAAAAATCAAGAATTCTAACACTCAATAAACTAAACCGATATATGAATAATAAAAACAAGTCTCGTGTAAAAAAAATCAGGAAACAAAATATGCATGATTGGAAATCAATACTAAATCTATTCTTAATAAACAATTCTCTATGGTGTATAAAATTATCTACAGTGCATAATGGGAAATCGATACTAAATAAATACATATTGCCTAAAGCACACTATGTCTCATTATATGTTTACTTAGAGGTGTCAAAATGTGTCCTGGGATTCACTGAAAATATGATACATATTTTAATAGCATGAAGTAAAAATAAATTAAATGCAAGAAATATCAACATTACCTCCAGGAAGGATGCCTTACAGCAGCGGACCTTCAAACTTCAATCATTTGATAGTTCGTACAACAGATTTTAATGTGTGTGTGGGCGCGAGCGCATATAACGGCCTGCATTTTAAACCAACGGAAACTTGTGAGATTTATTTGTTATATATTCCATCTCCACTTCGTAAATGAAAAACGAAAAACAGATCAATCAAATTAAATCATATGAAGGGGATATAGGTAGTTAAAAAAGACCAAGAATTCTAACACACAATAAACTAAACCAATACATGAATAACAGGAACAGGTCTCGTGTAAACACTGCAATATATAGTTCCGAATGGGCATTAATTATAACATATTGCAAACTCCATTTGTAATAATATAGACAGGATTTTACTCATTAAAGGAAATGCAAATTTTACGTAACTTATCGATGTGAAGAGAAAATGTACTCATTAAAGAATCAAAAATGGATTTTCAAGTACAAAAAATGGATTCAGAGTTGTGTGAGTGGAGAGTTTGTTTCAGCTTTTCTCACCGCCATAACACTCAAATTTGTGCACAGTTTTCGTGTACTCTGTTCATCTGCAGACATAAAGCCTACGAAGGAATCAAAGTTTCTATCAAAAAACAAAGGAGGCTAAGCTAATTATCTTCTCGTTCTACAAGCCAGCGAGACTGGGGGGTGCAGACAAAAGGTCGAGATCTCTCCTATTTTTGATACCGAAACCCTAACCGCTCTTGCTCTCTCTCCTTCTCTCGACAATGGTTGCGACAACAACAAAAAAATCCACAAATATAGCGAATCCAACACTCAAATATAAAACAACGTTATAAAGTACAGAAATAAAACTATAAAAGGAAGCCGAACTCAGTACATCGAAGAGGCAGGAGAGCCAGCATTCGGGGTACACGCAACCACCGCCTCGATGTAAAACCTCGACAGAGATAGGAGCGAACAGCGGAAGCATAGCTTCTGGAAGTTTGCTCTTTTAATGTATATTCAGATGAAAGATAACTCCACAAAGCACAAAAGAAAAACCAGTAAAATAAAGACAAACCAGCAGATCGAAGAGGCAGGAGACGCGGGAGATGGAAATAACTCCACAAAGCACAAAAGAAAAACCAGTAAAACAAAGACACACCAGCAGATCGAAGAGGCAGGAGAGGCGGGAGAGCTGGCGGAAGTGAAAACCCTAACCGATCAGAGAACGACGCAAGTGGAAACCCTAACCGAGGAGAGAACGACGGAAGTGAACGAATGAAAACCTAAATACAGAAAAATAAGCGTCCATTCCTATTTTATCCCTCTCAACTTTATCTCTATAGTATTTTTTTTTTTTAAAAATCCATTCACGAAACGACGTCGTTTTCAGAACAAGTGAAAACGACGTCGTTTCCAGTAGGACGAAAACGTGAACAGTTAAATGAAAACTGCCTCTTTTATTTGTTAGGGATTTCT